AACACTAAATTTAGTTGAGTTGAACAATCGGTTTTCTGAGTGTGGAAAGGTAGGATATCGCACCTTCGTTTTTCCAGTGCAGCAGTCCTTCCTCGTTGCCCATCCCTCCTACTGCAACACGTCGCAGGCACGGGCAGGAGCTGCCCCGCGAGCCTTTACTTACACATCATAGGTCCTGCCGCCGGTGCGCTTCCAGCCCCGCCCCGGCCCGCACTAACGGAACCCGAGGCCCACATCGGCCCATGGCCCTATTCGAGACCCGGTTCTGTTGGTCTTCCCTTCGGCTCTGGCCTCTGGTCCTACACGAAGCGACGCGAAGCTCCCCGGCCCCGCGGCCCCGTGCAAGAATGCAGCTGCAGGGCCTATGACACGGCATCCACTGCGAGTAGAGTAGGCCTAGGCCTAGGCGCTGGCGTACGCAGTGAAAGTCCGAGTTACGGTAATGTCAAACAGACGACAGTTGTACCAAACGCCCCAAACCAAACCTCGCACAATTTATCCCACATTATAATTGAAATTTTGACAGCCATTTGTTATGGATCGTCAAGAAAGTACGTCCGTTTTACTCGGATTCATTCGGCAAATGACGGGAGCTTGGCGCCTGTGAGGATCGGGGTAGGTGACCCCGCAGTACATGCATGCCCTGCAGACAAGATGTTGCCTATCCACCAGGCGTTTTGAGAGCTTGCAAGGGTTCAACTTGACAGGTTCGCAACGGGGAATGAATAAATACTTTCAGAATGATCCCTTAGAAGTGTTATGGCATTCCCTGATTACTCAACAATTTACGTTCAAAATTTCAAACAAAATTATTTTTGGTTATTTATAGTGAGGCAGCGAAATTCTTCGCGAGGCTTTCTCAGTGTGCGTTATACCATGCGCGAGCACTTGTTTTGCTTGCAAGTCAGAATTTGCTTTCGAGGCACTCTCTTTTCGTCCAACATGAGACAGTTTTGAAATGAGGTGGAGAACCGCTTGACCCGGACGAATCCACCATAGCAACGGTCAAATGATTCCTAAAACGAACGAGGGTGACATATCGGTTTAAGAACGTGACCTCTCGTTGAGGAGCATATGCCTGTAAAACTTGAGTCTTTTGCTCTTATTGTCTCCCTCCCCAGGTCCAGGTTGGCCCCAGAGACCCAACCCGACCGAAATAACGAGATCTCTCATTAGAATCTGACCGGTGGCAACAGTTGAGTGACATTCGATTGACCTCCTTCCTTATCCCCGAAACTCACCTTCCTCTTCCTTCATTCATCGCAAAAGCGGGTCTTTTGTTGAGAAGCAGTTTTGTGTTCTTGCACGTTTTATTTTGAACAGATTACCTGGGCTACCTAGAGTGGAATTGATTTAATGCCATTGTGTCGATGGGTTTTCCAGAAAAGCCGTGCCGTGCGTACTTTCTTCTTACTTTTAAGTTTTTTGTTACTCAACGTTTAAAAGTTTGAATGTTTCACAATATTTGAGAAGCACTTGCGTCCATTTTGGGTCCGTAAGACTTTATAGTCTTTCTCAAACTGTCTTCTCCATTATAAAACATTATCAAGTACGTGTACCTCCTCCTTATGCCTGTGTGAACAGAGTTTTTCCAGTTTTACGTCTTTACCTTGGCGAGAGACCTCTAGCAGTTCGAGATTTAATTACGAAGATTCCCGAGTGACATTCGCTCGCCCTCTATCGCCCTCGTTCCGGCCCGGACGGGACTTGGACGGGACGGGTCGGATGGACACATTTCTCCTTTTGCACGCATCTCCCGTGTTGTTTTCCGGGCGCCCGCCGCGCCGCCCCCCGAGGGGAGAGGGCGGAGCCGATGAGAAAATTATATATTGATAAAGCGAAAAAAAAAGTTGGGGTCGCACGGCGGAGGCCGGCTGCGGACGTATCGGTTTCACTCTTCATCACCTGCCCTGGGACCTGCTGTGACAAGTGCCAAGAATCGCACGATAACTCGTTCTCTCTGTTCTCTCTACCTGTCACCCCCT